TAACATAATGTAGCCTAAAGCTAAAGAATATGGGTTAAATGAATGTAAGAATATTCTAGCAGCATTAAAGGTGGGGTAGGTAATTTTGGAGAAACCAGCTCGAGTGCGCTAGAAATATACACAGCCGGAGAAAATCTGCCACTTCCTTACAGAGCCCCTCCTCCAACACACACGAACGCGCACATGACCAATGAGGGCACGAGATAAGTTTGTGCACAGATGGAAGGCTGACAGGCAGGTAGGCCATCCAGTTACTTTAGCCGGGCCGGCTCAGATGATTGGTCGTGCTTTTTACAGCTTCCACAGATGACATTTTCTATGGATTTTTTGTCAAAGCACTTCAGATATTAATTGCTATCGGGATGTTAAGAGCATTCCATGGAATATAACAAAAAGTGTATCTCGAGCCGGTTTCTCAAACTTACCTACCCCACCTTTAAATGCAGTTTCTCTGCTCAGAACAACAAAAAAACACGACTTCTATTTACTTAACAAGAGTAATCAGAGTATTTCCAGTGGCCTACATCGGTGTGCTGATATTACTGTGCAGATGAAGAGCGTGTGTTGTCGTGACTCTGTCAACCCATCCTGGCATACAAGAAGTGACAGATGGATACCAGAGAACACCAGTCTCCACAGACCTACATTCCCACTGGCCTTAATGTAACCTCTAAGCAGCACTGTTCCTCGGGTGATAATGGGACAAAACAATGCGATTGTCTTAAAGACTAAACTAAGGTTTCACTAAAAGTTTCTTTTTATATATTTTGGTGGCATTTATATGACATTTGAAGGAAGAATAGGCTAAATATGTCCCATGTCTCCTGGAAATGACTATGAAACTGTTAAGCTAACTTGGCCAACACATTTTGGAAAGAAATTACATTTTCTCGCAACGCGTTGGAGTGAGTGGGGTCTGCTGGTATTTGTATGTTGATGAGTGCTTGCAAGTTTGTCTTTCTGATTTTCAGTGTTATACTGACTTTGATGAATTTGATGTTGTTGCTTGTAAATGTTTTATATTGTCTACTGATTGTTCTGTGTGGAAATACATTTATCTGATAAGGCATACATTATTTCCTTTCTTTTTGAGATAATAGTGTTTCATGCATGGTTGAAAAAGACAAATAACTATACTATAGCAGTCAAAGAGGATGTTAGGGTCTACATCCTCAATGGGATAGGTTGAGGTAACAAAAGCACTTTGGTTGAGGTTAGGGAAAGACTGTGGCTTTGGTTGAATTTTAACAAAGTAAACTTTGGACTTTAAAGATTCTTAAGTTACATTCAGAGCATGAATAATAAAGCAAGCACATACAGATACTTCACTGTCTACCTTTAAAACCTGCATTAACATCAGTTGAAGTAAATTATGTGTGTTCATTTGAATTAGTCAAAGTGATAGGGCAAGTAAATACAACACATTTTCGTTTAGTAAATTCAACATAACTGTATTTAGCATAATTGGAGTTAAGAAATAAAACATAACATAGGTAGATTGAACATCATTGTATAATGTAGCATTGAAAAAGGATGGTTTGGTGAGATTTGCTTACATTTAAGAAGTACTATTTAGATTTCTAGTATTTTTCCCAATTATTCAACATAGTTAACCGGTTGATATTGGTTTATTATGTAAGCTAATTTAACATTATATCTTTGAGTGTAGTGAAGAAATGTATACATGAGCAGAGAGGGTGTTTTATCCCTAAGAGTGTTGTAATCTCAGCTTTTCTGTTTTCTGGTTAATAGCCGAGGACACGTGCAGTCTATGGTTCACATTAGCAAGCTAATAGCCGCCTCTCTGCACTGCGCTCAGTGGTTACCGCTAACCAACAGTGTTCAAGCTCAATGACCCCCTTCCGATTCCCCCTCAGGTAACACCGTTAGTTCAGCGCTTCTGTTCTTTATGTTAGCACCATTAGCTGCTAGCCGCTGGCTTAGCTTGTTGCTAAGATGATTTGTACGAGGAAACTAAACTGTGCTCCTTCATTAATCATGTTTGATGTCTGAATCAAGTCCTAATGAAAACGCTGATCTTTTAATAAGCGGAGGAACCTTTTCTCCAGCAGCCCCTCGTCATCCTAAACAGAAATCTAAAAATACACATGCACAGAGTGATACTAAGAGCCAATGCAGGAGCGCCGCTGTGTATTTATACAGCTTATTAGTGTCCAATTGAGCATTTGTCAGATTCCCACCCCCCCCCCTGGCGCAGCAGAGCAAAAACAACATTATGCCACTTCCCCAATTTATCTCTTCATAACTGGAATATGTTGTCCCCGTTCCATTTAGGTTTTAATAGACACTTCTGCAAGGGCACTTTAAAAGCTCAAGCACCACTGAAGTGAACTCTACAGCAGATTTTACTCTGTACAGCGCTGACATGTTTATATCTACTGTAGATGAGCTGGCAAATGTGTCCCATAATTCAGAGCAAAAGTGCAGATGATTCTATTCATACATGACCACTGCAAGGTTGTGGTTTTAATCTCCTAAAGACTCACTGAAAAAACTGAAACGTTGGTTAGCTGAAAGTAAATAATATTGAGTTTTAATAAAAAAACATTAGGTTCAACTTAATATTTCAACTAACCTAATACAGTTATGGGAAATGTGTTGACATAATAAATGTAATCAAAGTCAATGTTTCAGTTTTGTCCATGCATATGCAAATATCAATGAACAAATAAACAGCATATAAAGGGATTATTCCCAAGTAACTGTTATTATGTGGAAAGAGTGCAGCATTAGGGTCACCTGAACAGAGTGCGGTGCTGCTCTAGCCCAAAGCCCACACTGCAGCACTCATTAGGTCTCCATAGAGACAACCTCAGCACTGGACCAGAGCTCTAAAAGCCCTGATTTCAGGAAGCTCCATCCCCCTGTCCTGAAGAGGTTCTGATGCAACTGCTCATTAAGACTAATCTTTGCAGGTCTGTTCGGGGAAAACAAATGTGCAACTGAGAGAAAAGCGTCTAAGATCAACAATCACTGCCCTTTTATTCAGTCAATTTAGCATGGAATAGAAAGAGGAACATTACAAAGAGGGGATTGTCATAGGCCGATGCACTCTGGGTAATTCTAATTGCTGCCACAAAAACAACATTTGATTCTCGGAATCAATAGAAAAGGTCAGTGTCAAATAAGCCCGGTCTGTCGATATGAATGGCACCGCATCAGCAGCGACCACAAACGCAGCGTTCATCACAATAACAAGTGCTGTGCTGCCATTCAAAGTTTCCATGTAGATGTCTACAGCAGCAGCCATTTTGCAGTGCTGTTGCCTGGACCAAAGAGACTGAGCGAGCCATTCAAAAGCAACATCATTGAGTGAGATTTGAAACGGACATCGTCTGTTTCTCGAAATGGTCTCTCGTCAACTAAAGAAAGGGTCTTTGGTACGCTACCGTCACTGCTTTGACTCCATTCTCTCCTATAAATAAGCACTGCCTTCAAGGAACCCTTCAGCATGGCCACAAAATGGTTTTCCTGTCATCTTCGCTTGACGCATCGCCCTCTACTCTCACATTGTGTCCACTTAGGATTTTTTCTTAACCCCCCTTTTTCCTTCGTCTACGTCTTTCAAAAGATATTCTAAATACACCAATTTTCTTTCGAGCTGATTTATGCCCCCCAACACACGCACAGAGCCACCCCCCCTACCCCATAGCCCCCTGTCCTCCTTACTGCCCCCCTTCCTCACACACCCTTCTTGTATTCGCTGTAAAAAAAAAAAATCACCTTCCACACCTACCTTTTGAGGATTTCCCTGTGCACAAAATAGGATTTGAATGCATTTTGCGTGATGTGCACTTGGGCAAAGGGTGATAAGGACTTGTCTTTTATTTCCAATCCAAAATGAATCCATGTCTTTGCTTCTAATATGGCGGGTGCATTGACAGAGAAAAAGCACAGTCAACCTATTTAATCCTTTTTCTAGAAGACGCTCGACAGATCCAACAGAAAGCATGCAAACATGCAATCTCCAAGTTATTCCATACTTTAAATTACAAATTCATGAAGGCCCACTTTACATATTATAGCATGCATGTAAATAAAGTACATTTTTTTATTAGCAAAAGTGTTAGTTTGGTGAATTTGGGATTTGAAATGTAATTCTGTTGTCTAAAAAGAAATGATTTTAGTTTCATTAGTGCATTTTGTTTTCAGTTTGAATCTAATTTACAGGCAGGTTTGAGATTTAAACAAACGGTGAATGCACCAGGTGTAACATGCTATTTGTTACACACAATTATTCACAAATGAATCATTTGTAATAATTCAACTGTGGGACACGGTGAAAGGTAAACTTATTAATATGCAATTTGAGCATCTCAAAATGCTGTCGGATAATGCACCCAGACTGAGGCCCAATGCAGTTTGATAGGAAGCAATTAATAATGCTTAATTGTACAAACTGAGAATAAAACCAAATAATTAAGACGTTTCATTTCGGGTCATATCATTTCCAAACAAATCATTAGGAAAACAAATAACAAACACATACAAAATGTCCTGTTCCTCATGCAGTGCAGGCTGCACCTAACGCTCAACCTACATTGCTCCTCTCCCTCTGTGTGTGTGTGTGTGTGTGTGTGTGTGTGTGTGTGTGTGTGTGTGTGGTGTGTGTGTGTGTGTGTGTGTGTGTGTGTGTGTGTGTGTGTGTGTGTGTGTGTGTGTGTGTGTGTGTGTGTGTGTGGTGTGTGTGTATTTCTCCCTCGCTCTATTTGATAAAAGGCTAATCTTAAATGTGGAAACTGAGTGGTAACACGTCCACAACCTTCATTTTAATAAAGGTTAATGTGGATTGAAGTAAAGAGCCGCAGTGTGTGCAGGACACAGCAACAGCCTGTTCCGTCCAATTTTCCAGGACAAAAAAAATCAATATCTCCAATGTGCAAATGCTTAAAAGCTATTTGTGATATTATGTGAACACTGTGTCTGGTGGCGTAATTAACCTGCACCTGAAGTTTAACGTGCACAAATGCATCACCTACCATTCAAGATGCACTGGGAAAAGATAAGAGCCAATATCCACATGCCCCGCTCCGTTCAATATCCAAGCTTATGCTTTTTCTTCTTCTCTCCCCGCACTCTTTCCTCTTGTTATTTCTTCCTTTTATTTCTTCAACAAGTCAATTGCAATGAAAGAAAGAAAGAAAGAAAGGGGAGCTTGCAAATCTCTCTCTCTCCCTCTCTCTGTTTCTCTTTCTCCCTCTCTTCCTCTCAATCCTTCACGTTGGGAAGAAGGAGATGAAAAGGAGGAGGTTTGAGCTTCTTCCTTCTGCTGGTACGGGAGACAGTGTATGATCCACAACTGTGCGTCTCCGCTTCTTTATTTTTGGACTGACCGCACCGCACCGCACCGCACCGCGCCGGGCCTCAGCGCAGCCGTCCCCCCGTGTCGGAGCGCTGTTCTGCTTGGAACATGAGGGATCTCGACTCGGTATGCTCCGGTCCAGGTGAGCTGTGCCGCGGCTGCTGCTGAGTCAGAGGCTGGAGAAGCATAGGACAAACTACCTGTGCGCACACCCAACTCCACAATTTAAAGCAAAAAAAAAACCCAAAAGGTTCCAAAATCGGAAAAATAATCAATAAATGAAATAAATAAATTCACTGAAAACAGACACACATGTCCTCTCAGGTAAATGAATAAAATGCGTAAAGTTGGATTTGATTGTTAGCTGCGCTGGAAACTCATTCTCTCTTCGCCGCCTCTCTCCGTCCGGCGAGCAACAAGCACACGCATCTTCCCCCCGCAGCCGCACACACAAACTGCGCACACTGGTCCATGCGCTTAAAAGCTGCCCTGCCTCAGAGCACTGTGGAATAAACCCTCGCCTCCTACTCCGCAGCCGACTCTCTCGCTCTCCATTGCCTTAAAGGTGCAGGGGTGAGGGGCGCACAGCTGAGCCTCTGGTTTTAAAAAAAGTGTCTTTTGTTTCAACACAGAGGTGGAGGATCAAGGTGGCCCACGTTAACAACAGGGAAAACTATACAATACCACAAGCTAGAGAGAATTAGCCCATGCAGGACCTCCTTTCTATGATTTGCTGGTGCTGCTGTGGTGTAGCAGGCTGGAGGATGGATGCAGAAGGGGGAGGGATGGAGGGAGAGGGAGTGATGTAGGCTTCACCTGACTGGATACAGTGTACGCTTTGCTGAGGGAAATACATGCTAAAATATCTTAATTGCAGGAGTTCAGATCCTGTATTTTAATGTGTTTTTCTGGATAATTTATGAGACCTGGGGGCATTGTGGGGATCCTGACAGCCTAACCCCTGCATTCATTAATTGACCTTGACAGCTATAAGCAGCAACCCCCCTAATGCACCAGGGGGCATCAAACAGCGGCCATGTCAGACATCCACAGCCCCCCTGCATGAGTTCACCTCCATCCAAGACACACAGGAGGAGGCTGTGGATTAATATGTAACATCTAAAGCCCTCCTCGACATAGTATTGTAAATATATTTTATTTGGGATAATAAGGTGACTTGATATTAAAATAGTCAAAAATCCTGAACATGAAGGTACCATAAACACAAAACTGTATTTCAATTTTGAGTCTTCAGCAAACACACATCCCTGTTGTGTTTTTCAGGCACAGTGTTGTGATAAGAAAGTCACATTTGCATTATATGTGGGAATTGAAATGCAGTGACATCCGCTGCCATGTGACTGTTTGAATCTAGCGTGGCCCATTTATGTTCAAATACTGTAGCAGGCGAGCCAGGCTTTATGCCCAGATACACTGTTTGTCTCTTAGACTCAGCGTCCACATCAGACCTGCACATGAACACACTCTGCACCAGGAACACAGGACCTGTCACTGCCTGTCTGGCCCCTGTGTGCACTAACAGCCAGGCAACCCCAAAATAAAACACATCATCAGCACTGATCCCATCCCAACCAAGGCGTCAGACTGGAGGAAAACATGCTGCTGTATTCCTCACACTTTAAATACATGTGTTTGTGTTGAATCTGCCTAATCCCCCTCGCTGCAGGGAGGAGGGGTGTTGTTCTTCCAGTTCTGCTTCTGTGAGGATTGTGTACAGCTCTGGCCTGCAGCCTGGCACCTCACCACTCTTTGCAATGTGTTAGAAACCATTTTATGACAGATATACAGTAGGACCTACTTAAACTGGTTTACACAGTGACATCTATAAATGTTGGTTGTTTGTGTTATTTCTGTGATGTACTTTGAGATCCCAACATTCCCCTTATTTCATACATTTTTAGTCAAGTCAAAAGCATTTGCATCAAACCTGAATTGCATGCCAAGCAGACCATGTCATCGTTTAATTGCAGCTAATTTTTGTAAGCAATTATATGATTCATCCAAATTCAAACAACAAAATCTAAAATATTTAAAATAGACACAAAAGACAAAGCAAAGAGCTCCAATGACCTTGAGCCATTCCCCATCAGTCTTCTTGATGTGTTGTCTTTTTAAGTTGTATTGGCTTGCTATGTCCAATTTATTAGCCATATGTTAACAGTACAAATATTGGATTAAAATGACTGGCTTTATGGTCATAAAGAGGTCAATCCCTATTTCTATAATCCCTGCTTTAACTCCATGATATGTTATGAGGTTATGATCTAATCCAAAGGTATTATCTTCTTTATATGTACACCCTTCTGTTATTTAAACATTACATCTTCACAGGACCTTTTGTAAATAATTGATTTCCCTGACAAACTTTGTGTACTGTGTATCTGTATCTTTGTGTATCTGAGACAAAGGGTTTACAATCTAAGAGTCTAAAGCCATGCTTTAGCTACATGCTCATGTTAGAATGCTAAGATGTTCACAATGACCAAATAGTTCCAAGACTGTCACAGGTGGGACTGGAAGGCAAAAGCATATGCCCATCAAGGTTGGCTGCAGGGGCTTCGAGGGGCAATCAATCTTCAAAGCCCTTAGTTCACTGGGCATCACTAGTATGAAGAAGAGGAGAGTCATCAAAACCATCACAAAAGCAACAGAGAAAGCCTATAGATGGTTCTGGATCATGGCGAGGAGCAAATGCCACCCAAACACAAGTTGTGGTTTGTCTGTACCTGAAACACCCCATGACCCCTGGTCACACCATGTTGTGTTCAGGAGCATTAAAGAGATGGATATTTACTGTTCTAGAAATTAGTGGCAGAAAAATACTTGATAACCGCCAACCATGAATAGGTTGGTGATTACTGGAGAGACAGTGGACAGTTCACAAAGACGACCATCAGGGCGGAATGGGTTGGAAACCAAAACTGCATCCTCTGAGCGAAGAAGACCAGACCAAGGTACAAATCGACTCTTTCTCAGGATTGGAGCCTCCGAGTGGCTATTCCCCCATAACAGATGCAAGGCGCTGACCAACTTCCTGTCCTACAATGGCTACATTGACACCTCAGTACAGAAGGGAGGCTTTTCTGGAATCCCAGGATGTCTAGATCACCCTGGTGTGTTGACCCTGCTCATCTGAGAAATGAGACCTAACAATGCTTTGGCTACCTGGCCAACGCCTATAGGTCTAAACACCACACCAGCTGATCAAGACAGTCAGCTCAAGCATCATGTGCTGGGTCAAATAGCAGCGTTCAGTATGGGGATCTCATCAGGGTCATTAATATCAGTATGGCAAAGACTCAAAGTTGGAATCATCATGGGGTGTACAATCTCTGTGATGAGTCAATTCTGCTGAACCTCAGTCCCGCAGCCCAAGTCAGGATACGCCAACCACCAATCAGCATTGAAGGGACACCAATCCCAACTGTCTCAGAAAAGCCAGTAAAAAGTCTTGGCAAAATGTTCAATTGCATCCTGAAGGATACAACATCAGTCCAGACAACCTGTCAGGAGCTGGAGGGCTGGTTGACTGTGGTGAACCATTGGTGAAAGCTTTATTTGGCATCACTCCAGAAGATGATCTATCAAAACCATCCCTCGATATGGCTCTGGATCAATAGTAAGGGTCTATGGGGAGAAGCAAATGCCACCATTTTCTTAATTTTTTTTTAATTGCTCATCATCTTAGTTTGCTACATGAACATTCTTAATTTTCTTATTAGTGCTGGACACATTGGACAAATTATTTCTGACCTATAGTGTGAACAGTCAGAAGGTACCAAAATTATTACTGTTGGTCTCGACAAACATGGTGGATATTTACTCACACATCACCATACAGTAACATAGATTAGAGGTAGTGGAAAACAACAAAAGGGACGTTTTATAGAGGCAATCTGCTAGTAAAATGTGGGTAAAACAGCAAGTCTGGACTGGTTATTAAACAGAGAGCAGAGAAAGACCTTTAAATATCCCACAAAGCACATACTGAGACAGCCACTGTTTTTACACTTTATTTTCACATTACAGTTGTAATGAGACCAGAACAAATACTGTATAAGAGTTGTGAAGCTGATAGTCATTAACGGATTCTCTGGGCAGGTTTATATTCTTCTTTCTAAGCTGTATATTCTAGATTTACAGAAGAATGTTCTGTAGAGAGCCTTCTCTATATTAATATCCTGTTTACTTACAGTCCCCTGTGTTGTTCAGGCTTGTAGCAGCTATTTTCCGACATAATGTATGTACATAATTTCAACAAGAAGCCAGTGTATATGGAGAGTAATAATATCCATTATTCTTAACTACAAAGAGCCAGATTCCCCAAGTGAAACTTTAATGGGTTTTATTAACAAAATCCACTCAAGCACTATGATTATATGCAAACAACCTCATAAAATATATACCTGATAATGTCTTAAAAATGAAAATGATGCAGCTTCCTCTCAATCTGCGATTCATCAGGAATAAGAGCGCTTTGCTGCCGGTGGCGGACAGCTGAATCATTCAAACCACGTTACGAGGTAGAACTGGAGGAACAGTAGTCTAATCAATGTACATCCTGAGACTCTTCTTTTATTAGCTCATCTGAATCCTCTGGAACGTGAAGCAAAGTCACAATTCAAGTTTAATGAGTGGACATCTCTCCTGAATAAAGAAATTGAGAAATCGTGTTACCTTTAAGAGAAGTATAATTCAATGCCATTAGAGGATACAAGCTGTCTGCTTTAAAGTAAGCTGTAACCATGAGCAGGTTGCACAAAAACTGTGCTGGGCTCAACGCTTCACTTTTGGCCTCAACAGATGACAGTACTTGTGAAAGGGCCTCCAACATGTATGTGTTTTCATACTGTATGAGCCATCTGATTCAAATGCGTGTTCTGCGTGCGTACACACATGTAAAGAAGACAAAGGACTTGCTCTGTTTAACATTTTCGCCAATTCATGATTAATGTGTAGTGAAGTTTAGAAAGCTGTGGTTAACTTTGTTTGCTGCAGTTAGCAGAGCTGGTAACCTTAAAGACTTTTAGGCAATCGCTTGCGTCTGTGCCATTAAAACAGGACAGTCCAATGATCAGAGAGTTGTTTGATGCTGGAAGCTGCAGTGGTCCTCTCAAGCTCTCCTACGGTTGGCAATTGGGGTCCAGCCTAGCGTTTTAGTAGTGCATTTGTTTATCCAATTTTATTCTCTACACCAAAATGAGTGTTGTCGTTCTAAGAAATAGAGCGTTCTATACATAGACTGTATATAAATGGACGTACGGTCCGTGACGTCACCCATAGGATTCTGCAGAGTTGCCGTGAAGCCCTTAGTAGGCGGAGTCGGCCACTAACGGCTCGACAGTGAGGTCAGAGTTCAACTCCCACCTGCTCCAAATAAGGGCAAAGAGGCGGAGCCGAGGCGGGACCTCCTGCCACCGAACTGGAAGTGCCAGAGCTAGCTGAAGCTACCAAGCTCCCCATCTGCACACTGCCGTCACATTTTACGTTTCTAAGGTAAGCGGACATGAAACTATTCAGCAAAACTATAAATAATAATCTAAGTTATCGAGTTTTAACATAATACTTCAGAATCTTAAAACCCCTTAACGTTTGTATGCAATTGTGCTAAATTCAACACTGGAATCAAGCAAATATTAATATGTTTGCATGACATTAGTTATTTATATTTTGATATCACTTAACTATACGT